CTCTTATGGGACAAACTATCTCAATGGGGCATTGATCCTCGACTACTCTTTCTGCTTAGGCGTCTCCACTCTTCAAACACATGTCAGATTCGCCTCCCAAACTCCAATACACTAACTGATAGATTTCAAGTTAACAGGGGTGTCCGTCAAGGGTGTATATTAGCCCCCTTACTGTTCAACTTATTCCTTGCAGATCTCCCTCCTTTCTTATGTAAAGCTACTAACTCTTCCCCCTCTCTTAACGGTGCCCCTCTCTCAGTTCTCCTCTATGCTGACGATGCAGTCCTGCTCTCCCTCTCCAAAGCCGGGCTGCGTCTTCTTCTAGCCAAATTTCAAGACTACTGCTCCATCAACGATCTTAGCATAAATTCTTCCAAAACTAAAATAGTTGTTTTTTCTAAATCTAGCCCTCTATCCACTTGGACAGTTGGTACACAATCCTACCAACAAGTGCCAACCTTTAAATACCTCGGGCTCACTTTCCATTTCAAACTAAACTGGGCCTCACACAAAAAATCGGTCATTTCCACATCAACATCCCAACTCAATGCAATTTCTAAATTCCATTACTTCTCGGGCAACCAGTTTGTCCCAGCAGCCTTGCATATTTTCCAGTGCAAACTCCTATCCCACCTTTTTTATGGGGTCCCCATCTGGATAGAGGCTGTAAACCACGACATTGACTCCATTGCCGCTGTCTTCTTTAGAAAGATCTTAGGTGTTCCCAATATGATTCGCCTCTCCACCATGGTACTTGAATTGGGAACCCACCTTCCTTCTACTCTTGCCTGGGTCTCCACTTTCAAATACTGGCTCCGTATCCATCTCCACTCTAATTCCAATTCTCTTCTCTTTGACCTTCTTAGTGACTCCTACACTTCGAATTGGTTTAAACTGATTGACTCCAAACTTCTATCCCTAGGACTGAACTTAGAATCCCTTTTCGACCTGGGATTACAACAGGCCCATTCCTTGATCAAACACAAACTTTGGCAGCTTGAGTTTGAGTCACTTTCAGCTGACTTAAACCCCACTTGTTCTCCCCTTTTTTTCAGTCTTCCTCCTTCCCTAGGACGCCCTTCTAACTATTTCTCTTCACTGACCAACCCTGGTCAGAGAAGAGCATTTATGTTAGCTCGCCTCAATATCTTCCCTTCGGCGGTTCATGCAGGCCGATTCGCTAAGATCCCCCGTGCAAATAGGCTCTGCTTTTTCTGTCATACCCTCCCAGATTCCCTGGACCATATTTTATTTCATTGCCCGGCGCATTCATCTCTGAGAAAGCTGTTTCTCGAACCGTGGCTTTCTCTTTTGCCCAACTCCCTATCCCTTTTCCTGAATGATTCTTGCCCGTGGATTACATCTGTCGTTGCAAGATATCTTTTGGAAATTTCCAATTTAACCCATTACCTATGATACTATTTGTTGAGTGTATCTCCTATTTTATGTTTACTCTGATCATCGCTTGGCTTGTACCCATGTTTTGTTGTTGTCCGTTTATATGCCAATAAAGGTTTCGAAATCATCATCAATCATCATCAGTCTTATGACTGCAGGTATTCTGACCTTGCAGCACAAGAAGCTTCTGCAGTTTAACCCACAGCCCCACCATGTCCCTGGTGAGAGTTTCAACTACTCAGTCTCAATCAATTTTACATTGCCACTACAGTGGTAGTGCTGTATCAGGTTTGGTGCTGAAGGTCTCACACAACCCCCTCACCAACCTTATATGGGTGAGTCCCACACCTTGTTGTCTCACTGTCCCTAAGATAGCATGACCCTGGCCAGTGAAATATCAAGCCCCCCCAGGCCTGCAAGCCCCCTGACTTTGGCAGCTCTCAGCCCACGGAGGGCCCCAGCAGGTCTTTCCTCCTGGCACTGTAACCTCGTGATCTGCAGCACCGAAAGTTCAGAACCGCTATGCATTGCTTGAACTACATGGGCACTCACCGATTCAATTTCCTTCTGCACTACCCGCCATGGAATTGGCACACTTAGCTATGCTCCATTCCCCCCACCAAGCTAAAAAATTCAGCACTCAGGCCCTATATAAATCATTCAAGAAAACCTCTACTCTAGCCTCAGATAAATGAACCCCATCACCTCTGTACAGCTCCGGTCGGTCCAAATGAATCCCTGGGTGTCCTATTACTGAACCCATCCCATTAACTACTATTCTGCAGACTTCCCTATTAACCTTACTATGTGCTCTATTTATGAAACTAGCAGCACAATCAGCTCTCCAAGAATGCCGATGAATAATCATGGACCAAACAATTCTTGAAAATGGAAACTTGTCCTTCCAGCTCCTTAAATTGGTCAGAATGTCCAACACAAGAGACTTGCCACTTCTTTTGGCCAACTCACTCCTTTTGGCCAACTCACATCTGGGG